GTATAAAGTATTTTATATCTACAAAATATGTTGGGTAAAACATGGGTAGATGAATGATGAGGGATAAAAGCTGAAATAGAGGAACATTAGTAGCATGGACCTAGTGCCCTATATGTATACATTGGCAGCAGTGGACCTAGTACCCTATAGATGAGCACTGGCAGCTACGCCACAACCCGTAGATGTTTCAGATCTACGGTAAACGTCCTAGCAGCTGCGCTCTAAGGACAGTATAGGCATCTGCGCCTAATAGGGAGCCTTATGACCATGACCGTAGCGTTTAAAGGTCAATACCGGCAGAAGCGCCTCATAGAAAATGTCCCAATTCTGGCAGCTGCGCCTAAGTGACCAGATTAGCAGCTGCGCTTGACCAATGTGTCAATGGCAACAATGGACTTCATGTTATTTCCTTAGGATGATCCTTAGGAATGAATGAATGAGAAATAGCTGATTCTTAGGGTAGATCCTTAAGAATAAAGAAGATAATGGGGATGAGTAATTGGGTTGATTGTTTGATTGTTTAAACATATCATTATATTATTGTGGGTTGAAAACCCTATGTACTCACCAGGTTTCCCAACCTAACCCACTCAGTTTATTTATCACAGGTGTTGATATGAAGTCACATTACACTGAGAGATTTAAAAAGATGTAGATCACTAGTGTAAATAAATGTAAGTTCTGTTTATGCTTATGTTTTTGTATTAACGATGACATCCCAAACGTTTTGAAACGAATAAATATGTTTCCTTGAAAATGTTTTAATAGCGTATTTATCATGTTTTTCTGGAAACAAATTCCACAACATTTTTATTAAAAGAAGAACTCTGATTTTTATAAAGCATAAACAAAATCGGTCTTTTCTGACCGTGAAAATGGGGATGTCACAGTTGGTATCAGAGCATTAGTTTAAGCGAACTAGGAATATGAATTTATTTCTAGACTTAAACTTAGAATGCTAAGCGATGATTGTGAGGTGTGAGCACTAGATTATTTTAGGGATTGTTCCTAAAGTGCTTCTATGTGCTAAATGCTTGTGCCTGATATGCTGTTATTTATTCGGATCTATGGTCTATTGCCGACCGGATCTGGAAACCTTATGTGTTTAGGATTCTAAGCGTTTAACTACGATATTAGAACTAGCATATAAACGTTTCGGAGTGATAAGGATGATTTAACCGTCAATCCTAAGTAAAGGTCTAGATTCACCTTATTCGGTGTATAGATCAAGATGGCAAGAACCCGTAACGGAAACGTGAATGCAAATGGGAACCGAAACCAGCCCCCAGTGATTGAGAAAATATCGGTTGTGGTAGCCGCTGCTGAGCCAATAACGATGGCCGGAGTGCAAGCAATGATCCAGGCGATGTTGGATCGTCAAATGGAGGAAACCAGACGTTTGCTCCAGCAAAATCGAGAGGAAGCGACTATTCAGATCGAACGGCCCGAGTTAAATGAAGGGCAGACTGAGGAGGAGAACTACAGTGGGGCTGTTGGTCAAGTCAACCCACCAATAGTTCGATAAAACAACCACGATGACGAAGTCGAGAGGAATGGATGCAAGTACAAGGATTTTCTGACTTGCAAGCCATCGACTTTCACTGGAAAGGAGGATCCGATCGGGGTCATGGATTGGATCTCGGAGATGGAATTAGCTTTCATGACGTGCGATTGCAAGGGAGAACAACAGACCACAATGCTAGCCCATTTTGTTTATGTATGATTAGAAGACCCGAGGGTTAGCCATAAGCATTATGCATGAAAGACCAGAAGAAGGCTCCTGACACACAATATGTTATTATGTATGGTAGGAAGACCCGGGGGTTAGACCTAGGCAATATGTATGAAAGACCAGGAGGAGGCTCCTGGCGCACTGTATGCTATTATGTATGAAAGACCAGGAGGTGGCTCATGGCACACTATATGCTGAGTAGCCTAGTAAGGTAGTATGTATAGTTGTCTTTGTGATGCTTGCATGGAAGATCAGAGGTCGGCCCTTGGCACTTATCTGTAATACCTAGGGAGTGGCCCCAGGCTTGGCAAGGAATACCATGTGCGGCCCGTGGCATAACAACAAGACTATGTTTGGCACATAGCACCTTACTTGATTATGAACATGTTTGTTATGTATGGATCATGGTTATGTATGGCATGTATGGATATGTTGATATGTATGGTATATGGGGAACTCACTAAGCTTCGTGCTTACGGTTTTTAGTTATTTGTTTCAAGTACTAATGTTTTTCAAAGGAAGGAGTTCGGGGCGATCGCAACACATCACACCATATTTTCCACACTAGATGATCTTTGGGATTTTAAAACTCTAATAACAACTATATTAAGAATGTTGCTAAATGATTGAGCAAAATGAATAAAGCGGTTTTAATTAATCAAAACAAAATTTTTGGTCTTGGATTTTGGGATGTTACAAGTTGGTATCAGAGCCTTGGTTTGAGGGATTCGGGCACACTCTTGGGTGTGTTTGGACTCAAACTGAGGGCTTGATATGAAAATTTTCAAAAGGAACTTTAAAAGCATTTGAAAAGAGAAAAGAACTTTGAAAAGAACGAGGTGTATGATGCATGCATTTGACCGAGCTCAAGTAAATGGTTCCTAAAATACCAATACATGTTTGATATGTGACTTGATATGTGATTCTGAGAACTGCATGCTGGGTTAGGGCTAAGGATCTAGGAGGATGCCTTCAAATGCCTGTTGTGTGAGTTGTATGCTAGGAATGTTTAGCCAGTGGTAGGATAACCTGATTAGGTTAAGCCTGATGTGGTTACTCAATGCACGATTGCTACTTGCTTTGTACACCCAATAAGGTGAATCTAACCAGTGAGCGGATATGTAACAGTATTCACAAGCTAGTTAGGAAAGGGAAGTAGGGACTCCTAGTGCAGTTGATGGCGGATAGTATGTCGGAAGGTGCCCTAGGAAAACCTAGGACGAGATTAGTGGGAAAGGGTATCGTTAAAGGGAATTGGTGAAGTTGAAGCAATCCTTGAGGAAAGTACGGATAGATGTGGAAGGTAGTATGGGCCCGTACTACTGGAAGTAGAGGATCCGTACTCGATTCAAGGAGGTTCGAGATGGAACCAGGAAACTTGGATGGTGTGTGAGACCTCTTAGGAGTATGTATAACCCTGAAAATTATGTGCTTCGTTTTAGAATGGTGATGATTACGTGACACAGAGCAGGAGGATCAGGATTCGATTTAGGATCGGGTTCGGGTGCAGGTTCTGACCCAGTGGATGAGGGATTACGCGGGTTCGTCGCATCTGAGAACACGAGAGGTATCCTTAAGTCGACCCCGGTGATTTTCGGGTCGATCAAGGAATGGATTATTGAGCTTATTGAGGATCGCGTCAGAGTGTTCCAAAGTGATATGGTATCCAACCAGTCATAATCGCACACACTGTCCTTCAAGGACTTCAGGGGGAGGGGCGCGCCAGACTTCCATGGGGTGAAGGACCTCATTGTTGCCAGGAGATGGATTGCAGACATTGAGTCTGCACAGTTGATGAGCTTCTGTCCCGAGGGGTCGAAGGTTCGATTTGCTGCAGGGTGCTTGAGGGACAGAGCTAGGGACTAGTGGGAGTCAGTTGGTGATTCCTTGGGAACCTCAGCCATTGAGGCAATGACCTGGTCCGACTTTGTGGCCAGGTTTAGGGCGGAGTTTGCACCGGTTGTGGAGCTTCAGCAGCTGGCCAGAGAGTTCCTAGGCATGAGACAGATGACGGAGTCGGTGGCGGAGATTACCGCCAAGTTTCGAGAGAGGGCCTAATTGGTGCCTCAGTATGTAGGGGATGAGGAGATGTAGAGGACCCGCTATCATGACATGTTAAGAGCTGATATTTGGGAGCATGTCAACTTCTCGGCATGCCCGACCCTGGACTCTATGATTTCCAGGGCGCGGGAAAGGGAGATTGACTTGGAGCACATTGCGAAGAGGAGGTCCGATCAAATATATACTTTGACAAACTATCTGGAAAACTAACTTTTAGTTGGGGCGTGTTCGGCACGCACGTTTGGGTGCTTTTGGCTTCTAGCTTTTAAGAAAACTCTAGTAAAAAAGAAGAAGTCTCGTTCGGCGACATGAGCGTTTAGCTTTTAACCTAAACAAAACGCTCCAAAATCAAAAGCTACATGGAGTAGCTTTTAACAAAACGCTTCAAAATCAAATGCTACCCGCTACCTACTGCCAGCTACCCACGAACCACTATTCGATATCTATTACCGGTTAGTTTTGCCAAACACGATCTTGAAAAACTAGATTGTAGATGATAGCTGATAAACTAGCTTATGAATCAATAGTGTTTAGTAAAATATAGTTGATAAACTAAAAATTAAATGTAAAATGACGTAAATGGATATATATATATATATATATATATATATATATATATATATATAACTCAAATAACATTATATGTACTAGTTAATGGCATATTTGAAATATTTTTGAAAGATAAAAATGCAAAAATGGTTCCTGTGGTTTGTCATTTTTTGTGGATATGGTCCAAACCTTTTAAAAATTGGATTTATGTTCCTTATTGAAAGGTTTGTTTGTGGAACAAGCCCCTAGGGTTAACATTCGTTTGTTTGTGACTGTTAAACCCCTCACGTGCATTGCAGATGAGGGCATAAATGTCTTTTTACTTGATAAACCATTTTTACAATTCCTGAAATGAACCCACTTGTTACAGTCTTAGCGCCATATTACACACAAAATCACAAAATATTTAGTTATCTCATCCACTTCCATCTTCTTCGTCATTTGTTTTGAACGCAAAAACCCTAATCAAGATTTGGTCCAAGGTGTTTATTTGTTTTTGCTTTTCAACTGTAAATGGTGTTCGTAATGTGGGCGATCGTATACTCTATTTACGAATTTTTTTGGGTTTGTTGATGATCTGAAGAACAGAGCCAAAAATACAAACATCTGATAATTTCTTACTTAATGTTTTTTGTATCTTGTAGAGCGTGTACCAACAATGTTCACCATAAAGCTACACCATGGTGGAAATTTTATGAAGCTTCCAAACACGAAATATGTTAAAGGTGAAGCACGATATATTGATTTAGTAGATATTGATGAGTTCCCAGTTCATGAACTAGACGCAATGATGCTAGAGCTAGGTTACTCTGTACCCCCAGTAATATATTACCATTTTAGGATTCCTTATGAAGACTTGGATTTTGGTCTTAGAGCTTTAGGGAATGATAATGATGTCTTGAATTTGGCTCAATATATTGGAGATAACAAGGTCATTGAAGTGTATACAGAACATGGACAAACTAATTTGCTGACCTATTTTATGTCTCCAAAAGGAAAGCAAAAAGTTATTATTAAGGAGCTCTGTGATGGTGATCTTCCAAAAGAAGCAAATGTACCTCAAGTACCAGTAAAGGATAAAACCCTAATAATAGATGAAGCTAATGATCAAAAACAGTTAGCAGGGTATATGTCCTCGATACTCTTTGACAAAGTCCCTACACAAGTTTCACCACAGTATAGAAGAAATGGAAGGGTGAACTCAATAGTTGGTCAAAGTTCTTGTGCCAAAAAGCTTTGTTTAGTTGAATTGGATGATGTAGTAGAAGATCAATGTGGTGATCATGCTAAATTGGATGATGTTGTACAAGATCAAGGTGGTGAGAATCCTAAATTAGATGATGTGGTACAAGATCAAGCTGGTGAGCATGCTAACATGGATGATGTGGTACAAGATCAAGATGCTGAGCAGCTAACATGGATGATGTGGTACAAGATCAAGGTGGTGACCATGATAAATTTGATTATGATGACTTTCATTATGAGAACTTTTCTCATGATCACTTTGATCCTTTTTATGGATAACATTATCAACCACCACAAGATGAGAATGTTGAAGAACATCAGTCTGAACATGAAAAGTCTGCTCACAGTGATGATCTTGGGCAACAATCAGAAGAACCATATGATGAACTTGTTGATGATGAAGACAATATATCAGAAGTGGAGGTGGATATGACTGACTTTAACCTCAATCTTGATAAGGATTATGGTTGTGTTCAAATGGATAGGTTTCATAACGGGGTTGGGACAAATGATGAACATGAGGACATAGAAGTCATTGACAATGATAGATGGGATTCTTTAGATGAAGGGTCAGAAGATGAAAGGAAAAAAAGATGTGCTCTTAACAATTTGGCTAAGGAGAAAAGATGCAGTCTTGGCAATGTCCATAAGGCCAGTTTTTATGTTGGGCAAAAGTTTAAATCAAAGAAAAAAATTGAAAGAAAAAATTGGATATGCACACATTAGAAACTAGGAGGAATTTAAATTATAAAAAGAATGACAAGCTTAGACTTCGGGCATTGTGTAGAGGTATAGTCCTTGTCATCAATGCAAGTGGGGTGGTGGGCCTTAATACCAAAAATAAAAGCAAGGGAAAAGAGGTAAATTCAGAAAAAGTAAACTGTAGTTGGTTCCTTCATGCTTCTAGGTCAAACACAGAATCTCCCTGGTTTGTAAGGACATTAAATGACAACCATACTTGCCTTCAAAGTAGGAAGATTAGAGCTTGCACTGTTACTTTTATATCCAAGCGAATCATGGACCAAATCGATACGAATCCAGGGATTCCTCTTCGAGCATTGCAGAAACAACTTCAAAAGGACTTCGAGGTTGGTGTTTCTATTGACAAAGTATTCAGGGCCAAGGCTATTGCAACTAAGATCATGGAGGGTGACTATACGAAACAATATGAGATCTTGAGGGACTATGTCCTTGAATTGCAAGCAACCAATGTTGACACAACTGTCAAGATTGATGTTTACAGTGAACAAACCCATCAAACCCAACGAGGAGGTTTAAAAGAATTTGCATTTGCTTAGGTCCCCTGAAAAAAGGTTTTAAGGCTGGCCTCAGGGATCTTTTGGGTTTCAATGGTGCGCATATGAAAGGACTATTTCCTGGGCAGGTGATATGTGCATAATTAGTTAATTATTTAGCATACATTTTTATTCATTTTTAACTAATTATGTGTATAATGTGGACAAAAGGTACTTAATAATGTTTAAATTTTGTTTTCAGTCCAAAAGACATGCTTGGGAGTGAAAGGAAACAAGGGGAAGCAATTAGAGACCAAAGAATGAAGAATGAGGGACAAAAGCTTACCTACTTGGCGAGTTCTCGAGGCTACTCGACGAGTACACTAGAATATTCCAGAAGATAAGTCAAGACTCTTGGTATAAGACGGATAACAAGCATCTACTCGGCGAGTTGGGTCTGCTACTCGCCGAGTACACCCTGTTTTGTGATAATTATAAATACCAAACCATTATCTGAATGGAAAAGACTTTTGGCGATTTTGAGAGCTGAACCTGCGAAAAAGAACCCTTGGAGGAGCTAAGGAACCCTAACCTTCAATCCTTTGAAGAATCAAGGCAATTAGGTTAATCATTCCACTAGCTCTAGGAATTAAGTATGTTTAGCTTAGTTAAATCTGCTTTTGAGTTTGTTTTTTTTTATGACTATGAACTAAATTTGTTATGTTTCTGTTGGGGAAGACTAATTTACTCCTATGGTTTAGAATATACTTTTTGATTTATTGTTATTTGGTGATTTTATTAAATTAAGTTTGTTAAAGAACCTTATGCATTAATGACAACTATTTTCTGTTAATTGGAAGGTAATTAAGCTGCATGAACATCTCTTAATTATTAACCGCATATGTTATGTGAATACTTTATCATATTCTTAAGAATAATGAATATGAAATTAAGATTAATTAGCGAATGGGTGAATCAATGTGTGAGCTTGTTTGAGAAGCCAACAAACAAGAGGTTAATTGAAACACCAACTTGATTAACCAATTACAAATCTTATTTAATCCAAACAATTGAACTAGGGAATTAATTAGTTTAAACAATTGGCTACTGCTTGAACTGATTAATTGTCTAAGGGTTAGAAGTAATGAACATGAACCTAACCACTATAGTTGGTAACCAATAATAATTAATTTATCATTTAAATAACCATAGGAGTGAACTGGTTGAACCTAAACAGAAACCCTTTAATAAATTTGGTAAATTTGTCATTTGCTTTAATTGTTTAGTTAGTTAAGTGTTTAAGTGCTTTGTTTAAGTTTCTAGTCTTGTAAAACTAGAGAAAAAACCCTTTTACTTTTATTACTTGCTTAGTTAAAATTAGTTGTTAGATTAATTTCCGTTCCCTGAGTTCGACACCCTACTTATGCAACTATACCACTAAAAGACAGATTCACTGCCTTTGTGTGCTCAATCTATTAACTAAAAGTAGGATTAAAACTAGCTCGTTTCACACACATCAGAAAGTTCTAACAACAGTTGGGTTGGACTCTAACAATGGTATTTACCCCCTTGCTTATGCCATTGTTGAGACAGAGAACAAAAGTAGTTGGGTATGGTTCTTGTAGTGTTTAGGAGAAGACTTGGATCTTGGTTCAAACTCTAACTTTAATTTTATCACAGATCGACAAAAGGTATCTCTTTCTAACTTGTATTATTAATTACTTATTATTATATAAACTAAATACTTAATTTTTGTTATTGTTTTAGGGTTTAATACCAATAATAGACCAACTATTCCCATGTGCTGAGCATAGGTATTGTCTCAGGCACATACATCAGAACATGAGAGTGAAATGGAAATTGAAAGAGTACAAGGATCATTTATGGAGATGTGCAACTGCAACCACTGTACCTGAATTTGAACATTGCATGAAAGAATTTAGCAACTATGACAAGGAGGCGTGTGAATGGCTTAGAAAGATTCCTCCAAAACACTGGGCAAGAAGCCATTTTGCAGGTACATAACTTACCATAAATTACTATATGTTAAATGTGCACTTGTACTTAAAACAATATGTTAATTTTTTTAATAGGCAGAGCAATCTCTGATATACTGTTAAACAACCTTTGTGAGGTGTTTAACAACAAGATAATAGAGGGAAGAGATAAGCCTATCATAGGTTGTTTGGAGTATATTAGACAATACTTGATGAAGAGAATCTGTAATGTTATGAAGGTGATGGACAAGGCAAAAGGGCCTTTAACACCCACTGCAACAACCATATTGGATGTAAACAAGTCTCATGCATCACATTACATTGCTAGGTGGAATGGGGGTGAGAAATACCAAGTCACTGGGGCATGGAAAGATCAACATGTTGTAGATGTTAGGAACAACACATGTACTTGCAGGAAGTGGGAGCTAATAGGCATCCCCTGTAAACATGCCATTGCAACCCTTTATGAAATGACGAAGAACTCAGAGGATGTTGGTGACATTTACAGGTGGGTCAATAAGGTATACTAGTTGGATACATGGAAGAATGCATATTCCTATAAGGTAAAGCCCATAAAAGGAAGAATAATGTGGCCTAAAAGTTTGTGTCCCACCACACTTATCCCTCCAATACATCATAAGCAACCAGGTAGGCCTACAAAGAAGAGGAAGAAAATTGAGGATGAAAAATTGAGTCAGAGTCAAAGAGGGAGTCAAAGTCAGAGTGGTACTCATGGTGTAAGTCAGGAAGAAGGCTGTAAAGTGGGTCCTGATGGAGTTCAAAAATTAACAAGGAAATATGTCAGTGTAACATGTGCAAAATGCAAAAACAAAGGTCACAACTCAAGGACATGCAAAGGTCAAGGAGGTGGAAGTTAGGTGGAAGTTGAAGATCAAGGTTGTGTTTGTTTTGGCAGATGTTATTTGCTACTTTTGGAAGTGTTTGATGTTAAAAAACTTATGACTTATGGTTATTTAGGTTTTCATTAGTATGATAAGTATTAGAACATATATATGGTTGTATATGTTGGGATAATGTAATTGTACTATATGCTTGTAGTCTATTATGTAATTGCAGCCTTGGTTATTATGGTTTTTGGTTATTGTTGTGTATTATGTAATTACAGTCAATTATTCACATTAACCTTTCTTTCACCTTACAAAAACTACAAAGAACCTTACAAACAACATAAGCAATTCCATAAAATTCATATTTATATCAGGAAGTCATTTACTACATAAACAACTTACTTTGACCTTACAAACAACTATAAAGAACCTAGGTCAAAGTACCAAAAACCATTAATCCACCCAAAAACCACACTTTTATCGATCTTCAACAAAAAAGAACCCCACCCCATTGCCCTATTACCTAAACCTAAACAGACTTTATGAACAAAATCACAAAAAACACCCAACTAGCCAACAACAAAATATTTAGAGCTGTGCACCAAGCTTGCATCCGGTTCATATTTCTCAATAGTTCAGGAATAATGACTTTAGACCTTTCACACATGGGGGGATCAACCCATCCGATGAAGCGACAAGCAGAATCCTTCAAAAAGGGGAAAATAACAAATGTTATTTGATTACAAATCAAAATGGGTGCAAACGAATTTCTTTACCTTTTGAGGGCAAGCATAGAAACGTCTGCCCGGGTTCTTCGGTGTCCATGAGCATTTAACAACAGCAAACTTACCACAAAAACAGAGAACCATCGTGCGATTAACTGACAAGACGACCGTTAACAAAGGGGAACGAGAGAATGAAGAACAACTTGAAAGTTGCAGAACAACGTTTGGGGAAGAACTTGAATTTTGGGGAAGTCTTTATATATTATTTCAGGAATTGTAAAAATGGTCCCTCAAGTAAAAAGGCATTTATGCCCTCGTGTGCAATGCACGTGAGGAGTTTAACAGCTACAAACAAACGGCCGTTAACCCCAGGAACTTGTTCCACAAACAAACCTTTCAATAAGGACCAGAAATCCAATTTTTAAAAGGTTTGGACCATATCCACAAAAAATGACAAACCACAATGACCATTTTTGCATTTTTGACTTTTTGAAAAAACTTCATAAACTTTCAAAAGCTATTTCAAACAGCTTATAAAAAACTATTTTATAAGCTACATACAATAAGCTATTTTTTTGGTTTTACTAAAAAAGAAATTACAATAAACTATCTTATTTTTTCCAAACATATAAAATATAGATTATAAGCTAGCTTATAAGCTAAAAACAATTTTTTTTTAACTATTTTGCCAAATAAGACCTTAAACAGTATATTATCAATTATTACAATATGTAAAATAATATCAGCCACAACACATGTTTGCTAAAATTAAATATTTAGTTATGATTATTAATTGCCACAATAGATTTCATATCAGAAGTCTAACCATCTCTTAGGGTGTACTGAGTGGTGGCGATTTATAGGTTTTGGGTTTGCGGCATCAGTGATGTATAACAACTTCGAGACAAAATTTGTACCGCTTCAATGGTCATATGTGGGTTGATGGACCTGTGATTCTTCCCAAAGGCAACAATTTAAATATTTTTATTAAAGAAAATTTCCTATTATAAATACCTTTTATACCATTTCAAAACCATACTTATCTTTCTTTCAATTCTATTCCATTTTACTCTACTCTCTCTACATTTCAATTCAAAATTTGAAAATGGATGTCATTTTTAGGCCAATTCTATTCGCATAATGGTACGAATACGAAGAAGTGGTGTTGGCGAGAGCATACACTTAGCCTTTCGAAAATAGACATGTTAATCAACATAGATCGTCATATTTTAGGCAATTAGTTACAAATTATTTTAAGAAGCAACTTAGGGGTTGATCATTCAACACATCAAATTGTTTCCCAATGGGAAAATATGCATAAAAAAGCTAAAAAGTTAAATTTTGTTTTCACCCATAAGATGAATACTTAAGAACCTAAAGTTTCTAACAAAGAAGTTTTAAAAGCAACAAAAAAACGAGTATACTGAACACCATAACATTAAATATTTTCGTTATGAGGTAGCGTGAAATATTTTAAAAAATTACTCTTTTTTTTTATTATTTTTTATTTTTTTATTTTTAAAATTTAAGTGTTTTTTTAGCTTGCCGTGTGTCGTCTGGAGGATTTAATTAATAGTATTGTAGTGTGGTTTTTTAATTAAATGTTATTTTTAAGATATATATATATATGCTATGTTTCATTTTATTTTAAAATTTTTAATTTAATTAAATTAAAAATAATGATGTGGCGGGTTGAAAAATATATCGTTTTCATGTGTTGTGTGTTGGAAAAAATAAAAAAGAAAGGAGAAAGAAAAGTTGAGGTGGCAATAGCATTTGAATGATTCATTCCCTCTACTCTGAGGATGTGGACTCTACCGTGTGGATGGGGTGATGCCCTCAAAAACATTGAGAGGACTGGAACACACCTCAATTCATGTTACATTCTCCATTCATGTTATATAGAAAGATGTTAAGGACTCAACAGGGTACAATGCATGGTGGAGGATTAAAAGCCAATCATTTTTCTTCACTTAATTTTTTTATATTTATTCTTATATACATTCAATTTTAATAATAATAATAATAATAATATGGTGTGGTGGTTATTTCATAGCAATGCTATGATGTTGTGTGGAAACTAGAGAGTGACGTAATGACAAAAAAAAAAAAAAGACAATGGATGTGATCGCATCCTTAAAATATGTTTGACTACATGTAGAAACTTTTTACTTTTAGCTTGTAAGAAAAAATTAGAATTATTTTTAAAAATAATTTGTTCAAAATAAGAATTTAAAACTTTTATTTAGAAAAAAAAAAACTTATAATGCAAAGCTATTGAAAATAGTTTTTAAGAGCATGTAAGTACCTTTTAGATGATTAAGTAAATACATGGGCTATATTTGTAAACTTGTCGAAAGTAAAGGGCGATAATGAAAATTTATACCTGGTCGACTCTATATACACATTTATTTGCAAATGGATCATGTTGTCTCTCTATCTTTGTCGTGTGTTCTTCATCATTTCCTCTTTCATTCAATCCAATTTTAATAAATTCTTCAACCAACATCCGTCCAAATCTCAAATCCTATCTACCCAAACGTATCAAAAAGCATAATTCTTTATCCCAATCTCCTTAATTTACACCTCCTTTTCGATTACATACGCGATCTTCATAGCAATCGATTCGAAGAACAGAGGAGATAATCAATCAATCAACGATGACTAGGCGATGTTCTCATTGCAGCAACAATGGACACAACTCGCGAACTTGCCCTAATCGAGGTCTGAAGCTATTTGGGGTTCGGATTACAGATGGATCGATTCGTAAGAGTGCAAGTATGGGAAACTTGAGTCACTGTAACGGATCCGGAAGCGGCGCCTTCTTCAATGGATTTTCCGGTGGCGGCGGCGGCGGCACCGACCTTGATTCGCCAGGAGATACCCCGGATCATAACGCCGCCGGTGACGGCTACGGCTCGGAGGATTTCGTTGCCGGCTCGTCTTCAAGCCGTGAAAGGAAAAAAGGTAAAAAATATCCAATTTTTAGGGTTTTAATCAGTTTTTGTAAAATTTATCCTGATTTTGTGTTTTGATTTGCAGGTGTTCCATGGACGGAGGAAGAACATCGGATGTTCTTATTAGGTTTACAGAAGCTCGGAAAAGGGGATTGGAGAGGAATCGCGAGAAACTATGTGATTACACGAACACCAACTCAAGTCGCAAGTCATGCTCAGAAATTTTTCATCAGACAAAGCAATATCTCAAGAAGAAAACGACGATCCAGCCTTTTCGACATCGTCGCCGACGATTTCCCGTCGCAACCGGAGACTCAATCAGTCAACAACCCATTAACCATCCCGACTCTAGAAGAAGAAGAATGCGAGTCCATGGATTCCGCTAACTCAACAACCGCAGATCCCCAAATCGACCCCACACCAACACCTGCAACTGTAAGCGTAAATCTCGAGGGTAGTTCTGGTTCACAGTGTTTGATTCCGATGATGTTTCCGGCCTACGTTTCTCCGATCATACCAGTTGCTATTCCGTACTGGCCTGGACCCTCTTGTCAAGATCAAGATTCCATGGCTAAGACTGAAGCTCATGAAGTTCTGAAGCCGACCGCTGTTCATTCAAAGAGTCCGATCAATGTTGATGATCTTCTCGGGATGTCGAAGCTGACATTAGGTGATGGTGGTGGTGCTCCGACTTCACTGAAAGTTGGAGGGCTGAGCCGGCAGTCGGCGTTTCATGCAAGTAACCCTGGTGCTAGACCTTCTTCTAAAATGGATTCGAATCATAGTCCTATTCATGCGGTTTAGAAGGTAAAGATTTTAGGGTCTCTGTTTTGGATTATGTTTTAGGGTTTAGTTAATAGTTATGTTTGTAAGGTTTTACAAGATCAGAATTCAGAAATCTATATATGTTATATGTATACTACAAGACAATAATTTTAAGCTTTTTAGCCTGATCAACCCTCATGGATTTGGGGGTCCTAAAGTTATAAATGATTCCTTTGCTACAATGGACCTAAATAGTAACATGCTATGATGTTTGGTGTCATGGGAAGTGATCAATGTCGCCAAGTTATATCCGGCTCCAATAGCATGGGAAAATTGTGTGGTTTTATGAAACCATGTGTTATGGCTTGAATCTTAGTCAATCCTATATTCAGAGAGAGACAGATGTCAACTGAATCCTATTTTTCTATTATTTTCATATGCGTAATAGACGGGGAAGGACGTAGTAAGACAAAATGCTCTGTAGAGTTGAAATAAAGCATAGCTCTGGAGATTTCCGAATAGATTAACCTTTCAAACTATAATTGAATCTATGGATAAGAAAGAGACAACTTTATGAGCTACTGAAATCTATGGATAAAACACTGACAACCTGATGAACTGAGACATCTTACCGGTTAGAGGAAAAGAAAACAAAAATGATTCATGTAGTAGCCGCGAGCATAAAATGAGATCAACCTAAACGGTGAAAACTAGGATGTGGAAGAGCAGTCCGAGGAAAAGAAAATAAAAATGATTCATGTGGTAGCCGCAAGCAAAATGAGATCAACTTAAAACCGTGAAAACTAGGCTGTGGAAGCAGGTGTCGTGCTACATTGAATGTACTCTATGCTACATTCATCGTACTCTACGGATAGATGAATATATAAACCGGATATAGTAAAATAAGAAATCGAAAGATTTTGTTGAAATTGTTCGTTTGAAAAAATTTCCTGAAAAGCTGTAGATATAATGCAAGTCTTTGTAGAAAAAACATCATAAATGATCTTTATGGTTTCTTCAGATCTGAAGTTTAGTTCACGTGGTTTAAAAACATTATAGCTGGTTCCTTGTGCTTTCAAAACTATTGACGATTGGTCATTATTGCTAACTCCGTTAAGTTTTGTCCGTTAATTGGATATCATTTTCGTCATTTCACTACCACAGGGACCATTTATGATGTTTTCATTTTTTTTCAATGAAATAATATGCAAAGGTCTCTTTATATCTTTGTCTCTCTCGTATACACCCATGCACACACTAAATAAATGCACAAAAAACCCATTCGATTGCTCTCTTTTTGAGCCCTATTCAATGTTTCTCCATCAGATCTCTCTCTCATGGAGATGTGTGTTTGTTAAAGATTATTGGCTTCCTCTGTTCTTCTCCTCTTCGAGACCCTGAGAGATCCTACACGACAATTTCTTGAATCGCAAATACTCTTTTATTCTTGCACACTTCTCGACCTGAAGAGATCCTACACGACAATTTAACACCCAAAAACATCCTTCTAGATTCTAAACTCTCTTGTAAGCTCTGTGATTTAAGATTTTCCCCATTGGTTAATGAGGAAACATTCTGATGCCGTAGTTTTCGCCTATATGAAGAGGGGAGTAGAACTTTCTCATTTACTGATTCGGTTGTTCTTCAAACTAGAAATTTAACAGTGAAATCTAATGTTTATTCTTTTGGGATGATAATCCTATGGCTACTCACAGGTAATCAGTCACCTGGGTTAGTTAATAAAGTCAGAAAGACGGTTTCCGGTTCTACTTTGACCTCAATTTTAGATGTATCAGCCGGAGAATAGCCTAGGTTTGTGGTTAAACGGTTAGCCGATTTGGGTCTCCATTACTGTGAACATTTATATGTTCTTAGAAGACGGATGAATCTCGTCTTTTTTCCTTTGTTCGATTCTAAAGGTGAGTAACGCCGTTTTTTTCGTTGGATTTCAGTGTAATGTTGTTTATGAAGTAGGATCAATGGTTTTTTTGGTTTTTTTTTTTTTTTTTGTTGTTGTTGTTGTTGCAGGAAATCGTCTTCTTTCCATTACAAGCCTCTAGAAATTACCCCTCCAAGATACGACAATTCTTCATCATCACTCGATTTACCCTGAAAACAAAAAATTCATCATCATCGCCTTTGATTTAGGAATTGGGTGTTTAGGGTTGGATATAGTTTTCTTGCTTTTGATATTGAAGAACAGGATCAAAGGGAAACTGATTTGAGAGAGAGAGAGAGAGAGAGAGAGAGAGAGAGAGAGAGAGAGAGAGAGTTTTATATTAAATAATCGTCCCTGTGGTAGTGAAATGACGAAAATGCTATTTGGTTAACGGAATTTTTTTTACGAAGTTAGCAATAAGGACCAATCGTCAAAAGTTTTGAAAGTATAAGAACCATCATAGATGTTTTTAAACTATAGGAACTAAACTTCAGATGTGGGGAAACCACATAGACTATTTATGATGTTTTTTCGTCTTGTATTTCTAAATTGCTTTAAGAGTTTAGTTAATTTATATTTTGTTTTATTTGATTAGATTAGTTTGATTTATAATTGGTTTAATTTAGTTAATAATTTATTTAGGTTTTATAATTAATTTACTTTAATTGGTTTATTTTATTTATAATTAGTCACTGCAATATCTAACTTAATTGTTTATTTAACTGCAATTCAATACTAATAGATATAACATGGATAATGGTGTTTTATAATAATTAAACGTTGATAGTTAGATTTTTCAAAATATTATATATCAAGATGATCCTTTTCCTGTCTTGTTTAATATTTTTTGCTTGACAGAAAAAGTATTAAGTTAGAGCTAATATACACTTTATGTATATAAAGCAAATCGCTTATAAATTAAACTGAATTGTTGAAGTCATTATTTAATACTTTACATTGAAATAATTAGGAATCATGTCCTAAGAGAATTGTGATGTCTTGCCTAGTCAAACATGAGTAGGTAAGGTAATGATAGTTAAATATGACTTTATAATTTACAACTAGCATGTGATTATCTATGAGAGTAGTTACACAAGAAAGACTTCATTTAGATTTATTTTCAGGACGAAGAGATATTTAGTTCGTAAAAAAAACCTTTATAACTGTTTTTTTTTCGTTAAAAGCAAGTCGTACTACCCTGAAATGATAAGAAAATTTGAATAAATTTATGGGGATTTAAAGGAATTATCAATGGATATTTAAATAGTGTCCATAACTAGAGACATTTAGATGGCTCCACATGGTACAACACCATCATTTGTTTGTATCATGATGTACGGGATTGGTCCAAAAAACGTGGTTTATGCATAAACGAATATATAATATATTTTCATGAGATTAATGTTTTTTTCTATCAAGCAAAAAATATCAAAATGATCCTTATGCTAAAATCCATCGGGTGGATTGGTTGAAATTGCGCCAAAATCAGAGGGCAACCTTGGTGTCGGTACCCTTCTCGCTCAAAATACATCTATTTTAATTAAATGGTGGTGGATAGGGCTCTTAATTGGGTCAACCCGATCGGGTTTCGGATTAAACGAATCGGGTTAGTCGAGTTTTTCTAGAAAAACTATTCATCCGAAACCCGACCCTAATAAGGTACGGGTTAATCGGGTTTCGGGTTTGTAGGGTCGGGTTAGTCGGGTTGAAGTTGAAATGTAAGATGAATTTATGTTGTGTCATTTTAATACATAATCCACATGTATAGGGACTTAAAATGTAAAGTTGGTATTGGATATGAATTTTTTGGAGTTTCTTTTACCATATTAGTAATGTAAACAGTAAATAAAATTCGTAAAATTGTTACAACACAACCGTACTATATTAAGAAGAGAGGAAAGTTATGTCATTTTAAATATCTCTATACATAGTAATTTTACTATCTGGTTTGTTTAATTAAGAAATACGTATTAGTTGTAAAATCTCATGAGATCTTGAATTCATGTCATTCAACGCAGTAAAAAAAATTTGATAATAAATTCTTAATCGGGTTGACCCGAAACCCGAATTGTTTTGAAAAAATCAACCCTAAACCCGACCCTAATAATAATTCGGGTTAGTCGGGTTGACCCGAAACCCGAATTGTTTTGAAAAAATCAACCCTAAACCCGACCCTAATAATAATTCGGGTTAGTCGGGTTAACCCGATTAAGAGTTCTGACCCTATTAAACTCGACCCTAATTACCTTATTCGGGTTCGGGTTTTTTTGACACCCCTAGTGGTGGAGGTTGATGAACGAAAAAGATTGGAGTAAATTATACAAATGGTGTTTGAGGTAATTTGTGTGTTTCGTCTCTAACTTATTTTTTTAATTCAGAAGGTCCCTACTGTTTGTTTTTGTTACGTGCTTGGTTCCTACTATTTATTTTTGTTACGTGCTTGGTCATTGTCTTATTAAAAAAAATTATTATTTAAATAGGAAAAAATGGTGGAGTTAGTAAGGTAAGATTAGACCTGACAATTTCATACACGACACGAATATCATACGAGTTTTCCGTGTATGTGTTTTAGAAATTCGTGTTTCGTGTTTATTCGTGTCTGACACGTATTTTAAATTCGTGTTTCGTGTATTACACGTGTCAAACACGAATTTACCTGTTTAAACACGTATACGACACGATACAAATTCGTGTTGACACGTGACACGTATATATACATATGCACTTTATGGTTAAATTTTATATTTATAAAATATTAGGGACCAATTTCTTAAGAGTCAATAATTAGTTTATAGCACTAGGTTAAAAAAAGGCATTAAAAACGTGTTATTCGTGTTTTTGTGTAACACGATTAAAAAACATGTTTATTCGTGTTTTTGTGTAACACGGTTAAAAAACATGTCTATTCGTGTTGTGTCACGTGTCACACGAATTTTTTATGTGTCGTGTTTGATGCCCCAGACACGTTTTATAATTGGTGTTGTGTTCGTGTTTAACAAATTTGTGTCGTGTAAATTCGTGTCTGACACGAATACACAACATGCAGACACGGATTGTTAGGTCTAGGTAAGATGAAGGGGTGAGGTTGGAGGTGTGTTTATTTAAATAAATTAAAAAATCAAGGGTAAAATAGTCTTTTTAGGTAAGACAGGGACCAAACATGCAACAAAAACAAATTGTAGGGACCTTCGAGTTAAAAAAATAAGTTAGAGACCAAACGTGCAAATTACCCTAAACCATAGGGACCATTCGTGTAATTTACTCATAAGATTGCTTATGGAAAGATGTCATCCTGAGTATTCATAATCTGCATAACAATCCAACCTTCGATATTGCTAGAAAATCTTCAAACGGAGTTTGGTGCAACATATGTAAGGTGGTGAAATCTCTCATATTGTATTGTACTTCTGGTTTGTTGCTGGTGTGTGATTTTTTAATGATATTTGTGGTTTCCAAATAAATAAATAATAACCGCTTTTAATATAAATGATAAAATAATTTCTACATAACTATACCGTTATTAATAGGGTTATTGTCACTGTAGCCCAACAATGTTTAGTATATTAGTTTAAATGGTCCCTCATGATTATTTTTTGCCTTTAAAGGGTACTAACTTGTGTTTTACCGGTTAATTTGGTACCTTTACCCATTTTTGAAGGTTACAGTGTCATGTCAGCTGCCAACTAGGCAGGTGAGTCAACAATGACTCAGTGGTGAGTCGACTCATCTTTGCCGGTTGTGTTTGTGTGGATTACCAGGTGTGTTTGTGTGGTATCTTATAGCAACAAAAACCACCATTGATTCACAACCTCCAAAAATCACAACACCACTACCCCTTATTTGGGTACACATAAATCGATGGGTTCTTGGCGATCATCTTCAACTCCACGAGATATGGTTTTTGACGATGATTATGATGGAGACGAAGATGAAACAGATTTAGATGATAAGATGATTAGAGATGATAATCAGGTGATACCTTGGTCATCTTGGCCGCCTTCACCGACATCCAGTTCCTCTGGAAGAAAAGAGTACTTTAGGAGTTTAGAAACCGATTTCAAGAAAACAATTTGATTTTCAAATTGATTTCAAGCAAACATCTTAGAAAAACGGTTTTAGAAACTGATTCCAAGCAAACATTTTGATTTAGAGAATTGATTTTATATGCCGGTTAAAACCACCTTCACCTCGTTGCAGACTAATTCTCCAGATTCATAAGTGAAAAGAAATTCAAAATCAGGGAAAACATCTGCAACCGTGTCATACATGTCGAGAATTCGAAAGAGTTTTTCTGAAGATCTTTGCCCAATTGCAACTGCTTCCCCAAAATTCAACAGCTGCATCACACATCCTTTTGTTGTTTCAACGAAACTAATTTCTTTGATAAGTTCGGATTCACTGAAAACTTGTTTGCATAATCGTTTTTCCCCAAAAAGAAGAACCTTGACCACGATTTTAATTGCTTGAATCCATTTCTTCATTTTCTCATCCAAAATTTTCCATTCAATTTTCTGTACTTCTTCAATACTAAGCCTTTCAACTCCTAGAATGGATAAACACTCGTTTAAGACATTAGGCAGGACGTTACTGTAAACCTGACAACACTCTTTTTCATAGCCGGACCTAATCATCCGATCGACGATGACTTTCAGCTCCTTGATTGCTTTAGGATGGATCAAATCGACAAAAACATCACCACCTAAGCGCGGGCCTCTTTCGTGATGATACCCACTTCCGCTCCCACCATCTTCATCTTCTCTGTAGCTTTCAAAATCGTTCCCAATTTCAATCCCGTTTGACGGAAACGAGAATGAACCCTTGCGGATCGATCCTTAGAGTCGATCTATGACGAGAGGGACTGTGTTACAGAGTGAACATCAGACTCTATGCTTAGTGTTCGATTCTACCGGAGTGAACATCAGGGCCATCGCTGGAGCCGAAGAAGACAGCGACGGGGCCGGAGAAGACAACATTAGAGCAGGTGAAGATGGAAGATGGTAAGGGATTTGATCGGATTTGAGTTCTAAAGAAAGCATTACATTAGGTGTTACACGTGGCAATTGAGTTGGCATTTAAACTTGCTGATTATGATGGGTGCCATCGGGTGACCCCTTCAAATTGTCCAGAATGACCTTTTAAAACCTAAAAATACAAGTTTGTGCCCTTCAAATACAAAAAATAGTCACGAGAGACCGTTTAAACCAATATCCTAAAGTTTGTTGAGCAACAATGACAATAACCCTTATTAATAAACAATAACAATGTTATTAATTGAGTGAGAGTTTTGAGTCCCATATGTGATTGATAATTTTTATCACGATGTTATCATATTTTCAACTTGTCAATTGTTTTGTGAATGAAAATCTTCTTTCAAACTTTAAAACGTTAAATGACTCAATTTCATGCCGATTGAACAAGAAAAAAATGAAAATATTTTTGCAAAAGGAAATGGTAAATTTAAGAATGGTTGTGGATATCCCGATGAAACTCTTTTTACCTAATGATTGAACGAGTTTAAAACAACAAAAAAATATAAATAACTCATTTTTTATTGGGGTAAATGACACGTGGGAATCAACGAAGAAATGAAATAATTCATTGACAAAACTTCAAAAATGGTCCCTGTGGTTTCCGAAAATATCAAGTTTAGTCCCTAAGTTCAAAAAACCTCACAGATGGTCCCTGTGGTTTCAAAACTTTTAACATTTGGTCCTTCCGGCTAACTCCGTTACTATTTAGCCGTTAAGTCAGGGGCATTTTTGTCATTTCACTACAGAGGGACCATTTATGAGGTTTTTAATTACTTTTTTTAAAATAAATAAATAAATAATATTTAAAAGGGTCCCACTCCTCTCTCTCTCTCTCTCTTCTCTCTCTCTCTCTCTCTCTCTCTCTCTCTCTCTCTCTCTCTCTCAACACATTGACTTTCTAACAATCAACACCAAAAAAAACATTTACAGCAAAAATATTTCGAGTTCTTCCATAACACACTAATTTGATTTTTACACAGATTGGAACCTAGCCATTGATTCTAACCCTACCTTTCTGATTTGGAGATCGTTGGAACCTAGCTGGAGAAACAAAAGCCTAGTTGAAGTGCTTCAATAGTGGCAAATATCTCAAAAGTTCAAGTAAGTTCTGATGGTTGCAGAAAGCTCGCCGGGGCAATTGATCATGATTTCCCCACCGATTGTAAAGCTTGGAAACAATACAGAAGATGAAGTGGTTGAGCTACCTTTAAAGAACAATTTACACATTTTTTTTGACCCATTTCTCCGACAAAATGAGATACATGATAAGGAAAGTAACGAATTTGCAGTCGGCGTGATTGACGCCAAGACATGGTCAAAGATGATCGAAGAAAAAATCCCCAAAATCATCCCCAAAACACCCATTAGAACGCCTCCCAGCGAGCCGGAAACGATCAATGCGTGGGAATTGATGGAAGGTTTGGATGATACAAGCCTACTCCGACCAAAATCCGCAGCGAATCACATCCGCAGCTTCTCATTTCATGTCAATCCCAATTCCTTTACATCCTTCGGTGAATCTGCAACAGAATTCCCATAACAAGATCGACAAACTGAAATCTCCGGCAAACCACTATGTCTAGCAATACCAGAGAACCACTCCTCAAATTCGAATTCCCTTTTCGATTCAAACGACACATCGGTGGCATCGGATTTTGATACTGAGGTAATTTCTTCATTCCTAAAATCACTAGAGTTGCTACCTCCAGCGAACCCATTTCACATAAAGCCATTAAAGAAGGTGTAATCTTGTTATAGGTAATCTCGTTCCATTTTTTTTCTTCAAATTCTTTTTCTGTAGATCTTAAATCCACCGATTGGGGAGGGGGGAAAGGGGTATGGTTTAATAATCTGTGAAAGGGTGAAGGAATTTGAGCACTTGTGGAGGATGATATTGCTAGTGACTATCAGAGAGAGAAAGATGATATGGGAGAGCCATGAAGACGATGAAGAAGAGAGAAGAGAGAATGAGGCTGAGGCTGAGGAGGATCGGTGCACAACGCATATGGAGAGAGAGAGAGAGGAGTGGGACCCTTTTAAATATTATTTATTTATTTATTTTAAAAAAAGTAATTAAAAACCTCATAAATGGTCCCTCTGTAGTGAAATGACAAAAATGCCCCTGACTTAACGGCTAAATAGTAACGGAGTTAGCCGGAAGGATTAAATGTTAAAAGTTTTGAAACCACAAGGACCATCTGTGAGGTTTTTTGAACTTAGGGACTAAACTTGATATTTTCGGAAACCACAGGGACCATTTTTGAAGTTTTGTCTAATTCATTTTATTGGGGTTAAAAAAACTGCAATTTTATTTGACTGAAAAATTATAAATAACTCGTTTTCTATAATAATCTTGGTAAATTAAAGTTTTTCACTCGTACCCAAAGTGAATATTACATGTATGAAATTAAACTCTTAAGTATGCTACAAAGGGACATATATGGCCAATGACATTCCTTCAACATTTGGCTTATTATTCTGCAGCAAAGCTAACTACAACACTTTTAAATGCTTGATTTGAGATCTTCAGAGTACAATACAGACTTCCAAGATGGATTTCTAGGTACAAATGTCTCCTGCCATATACAAAACAACACATTAGCTTCCATTAACAATTCAACCTTCTTAATCTCTATCATGAATGCTATCTCTAACTGTTGAATCCAAGTTCAAGAACAAATAAGACGATTTGATGAATCAGCAATTGAATCTTCTTAATCTTTATCGATGATTGTTATCCATAATTGGTAAATCCAAGAGCCTTCAAGTTCAAGAACGAAAAACAGAACATTTGATGAATTAACTATTCAATCTTCTTAGTCTGTATTGATTATTGATGTCGAAAATTGGTTACTGATCAATCAAAGGGGGTTTAAAATATATAACCTGCATAAACCATCCTACTTCTAGGTGAAACATTTATAACATGTATGCAGTATGCTTTTCATTCGAGTGAAATTGATATAATCGGAGAGGAAAGACATTCATGATGATAAAACGCGGAGGAAACGTTCATACAATCGAAAAAACCCTAAAATTGATCTACAAAATTGAAGAAGGATGGAGGTAGATAAAGCTTACGGAGATGTAAGAGCAGGTAGGGATAACGGATAAGGAGTTGGATTGAGCGTGATTGAAGGCGGCAACAGCGAGATGTGAAGCTAAACCTAAGCCTCTCTTGCTTGATGGAACGAAGGTGTGAACTATATCCATCAATTTTCCACCGTTTCTCAACTCGTACTGCAAGTATGCTTGCTTGTCCTCTGTTTCAAACCTTTTCTGTCTCTCGTTCCATACTATCTTCGCCGCCGCTGGTCCGCCGCTCCCCGTCGCCATATATTTCTGTCGATCGCTTTACTATTAACCAGGGGGAAATTTTGTTTATACGACGTTAAATATATATTAAAAAACGATCCATATATTTTATATTGGTTAATTTAAAAAAAAATAGGACACCCCGTCCCGAGTTCAACTTAAGGAGAGAAAAGAAAGAAAATATTACAAAACAATCCATATATTTTATATTGGTTAATTTAAAAAAAAATAGGACACCCCGGCCCGAGTTCAACTTAAGGAGAGAAAGGAAAGGAAATAAGTGGAAATGAGAAGAAAATAAAAGAAATTGATGTTTCCGAGTTTCATTAAAGAAGGGAATTGGAAGGAAGTGGAGGAAAATGGGAGGATTATTTTCCCTCCTAACTTTCCTTCCGATTTGGGAGGATTTGGAAAAAAAGAACAAAATAATTTATTTTCCTTCCACTTCTCTCCAACTCGGGAACACAAAAGAAAATTTTGTTTTATTTTCCTTTCTCTTCTTTTCTCTCGTGACTTTCTTTTCTCTTCTCTTCTTTTCTTTTGTTAAACTCGGGAACGAGGCGTAAATATGTGAAAACTTTAAATTTATAAAAATAAAAAATAATAAATTATTAAACTTGAAATGTTTTTTTATATTTTAAATTTACACAAATAATTTAAATAAATAAACAAAAGAAATTAATAAACTTTAATTTGAGAATTTTGAAATTAGAATGTAAGTTCATTAATGAAATTAATATCTATTTATTAGTAAATTTAATGTAATTACTACATTAAAATATTATGTGAAATTTATTAAAATAAAAAAAACTCATAAAATGACATGTGAAAAGGAAATTAATTAAAAATAACCATAAAATAACATTTGACAAATTGAATGAGAGTGTGACATATGACTAAAAAAACTTTCATTTATTAGACTAAACTAGAGTTTTTATTCATTTTTCAGGGCATATAACATTTTAGCCCCAAAATGTTTTTCGAATTGGATTAATCAGTTCTTAAATTTTTTTTAGTGTTTTTTAGGGGTCTAAGGTGGTTGTTGTTTTGTATTTTTGATCAGTGATACCTAATTTAACCGGTTTCATAAACCACAAAAGCATTTGAAGCTAATGTGACTTCTTGTCACCAATGAATTTCAGGGTTTTGCTTTAAAAGAGTCCACCATTTGTTTCTCTCCTCATCATTTTCTCTTCGTCTCTTGTTTCCTCCTTCATAATAGGGTCAAACTCTATCACCAGTTTTAGCGGGATGTTGAAATTGTTGAGATTAGGCTCCATCCACCTCGTCTGTCTTAGGATTTTCCTCACAAAACGACTGTAAAGGATCTTGTTCTCATCCAGTTTTCGCCGGAGATCAGTTGTCGCCTTACTCACCTTACACTCATCGAAAATCAATGGTTTTTTATTTAGATCGTAAGAGTTTAAATGTGATAGTTAACTAGATTGTAATTGAGAAATCGAAACAATGAATTGAAATGAAAATCAATTGAACTGTAATAACACAAAAAGGGAAAAGATTGTGTAGAGATTGAACTAACATTATGAAGTAATTTAGGGCTCGGAGAATTAGGGAAGATGGTCCGTCTTGAAGCACTTTGAGGTTTTCGCAGAGATCTCTAGAGAAACAAAAGTGTTACCTGGATATAAATATTATCGGTGACACTTCATGACTACATTGACAGTCTCACACGACTGTAAAGGATCCTTCTTCTAATCTAGTTTTCACTGGAGATCAAATTTCGCCCGACTCACCTCCTCCACCTCATCCCACGCCACTTTGCACTTGTCGGAATCAAGACCCTCGCAAACCTATGTCGCTTCAACAACTTTCAACTCAATCAACTCCTTTAGCTTTTCCTCTCTCACCCGTGTTCTTTTATATTTGGCCGATCCTCTTCCTCCTATTCCATTTCACAACAATTGATCCGACATCTCGTTGTACTCGTCGTATGACATATTGGAAGAGTATAAGATTGGATTTGAAGGAGTACCTTGAACAAATCTGAAAGATGATGGTAACTTCAAGCTCTATATTGTCACACCCCCAAACCAGAATGGCGGAAATGTCTGAGGGTGGATGACTCCATGAACAATATCATAACTTGATGAATAATAGCGATCAAAGCAACACAACCCTCATAATTATAATTGGGAAAATTACATTTGTTGTCTGTTTCAATTCCAATACATTACGACAAAAATGAATAGTGTGATGTTGTAATGTCCATCCTCACAACTTTGTAATTACCTTGCTTAACGATTCCCTGAGAATACAAGTAGTTTGAAAATGTGTCAACAATTAAGTTGGTAAGTTCATAAGAGTTTTGAATGTGAAAAATCTATAACTTTTTCTTGTAGAATAATAGTGTATGTTCCAGAAAATCCAATATTTTCTTAAAACGAGTTGTAGTCTTAAAAACCCTAAGAAAAAAAATGTATAAGTACTTTTGTACTTGAAGATAAGATTATGTAGTTTTATTATATAAAACCATTTGAGTGAAAGTTGCCCTGTAAACCAAATGTATCATTGATTTCCCAATACGAGTTTTGTATGTGAAAAATCTGTAACTTTTCCTTGTAGAATGATAGTGTATGTTCCAGCAAATCCAATATTTTCTTAAAATGAGTTGTAGTCTTAAGAACTCTAAGACCAAAAATGTATAAGTACTTCTGTACTTAAAGATAGTATTATGTAGTTTTATTCTTATATAAAACCATATGAATATATGTTATCTCCGTAAACCAAATGTATTGTTAATACCCTATGTGAGTTCTTATAACCATGCTAAAATCGTAGTTGACCTGCTGCGGCGTTCTTCAGGCGTCAGAATGTTATGACAATTGTCACTCCAGAACTGCCGGTTTAGCTGTAGCAAACGGCTTAGGTGCGGGATTGTCAGTCCCGTATAGATCTATATACAAGTATCACGCTCTCTTACGGGAGATTCTGGTTATAATAAAAGACTTTTGTAGGTACTCTGGTAGGTACGGTGAAGACTATGTCTCACAAAATTATATTAACATGTTTACGTATAGTGTAACGAACGCCCTTTTGTAACTGGAAATATTACATTTCCATAGTGATTACATAGTGTAAAATAATTATACATTTAAATAATTATGTTTTCGCCCCAAAATGGTAAAATAGTGTTAATGACCCATAAACTACACCCATTGTCGTTTGTCATATATGTTTTGTTGTGTCCACATATATATATATATA